CTCCCTTTTTACGAGAGCTGACAAAGGCCTTTTTGACTCACGCGCCGTTTCAAAACAACATGAGGACACGTGAACCTCAAGTACACCTCCGCTGTGAGACATTCTGTCTCTGAGAGCTGCCACCTCAGCGAGTGCTTGAGTCACACCTGAAAATAGAGCTGTCATTTTGCAATACGAGATTGCAGATAAACATCTTACCCGCACTCACACACAGTCACAAACATGCACAGACACACTCGGGCATGAAAAAAGGAAGAAAGATGCAGCCAGAGTAGTGCGGTCTTGAACTTTCCTTATTCTCAAGGATACCAGGCATTTTTCAACTTCGACCGTGACTTTTATTGGGTTTTTTCCCCGAAACACGCCCTGAACTGACAGCCAGATGTCACTGTGCATGTGTGTGTGTGAGAGAGTCCACCGTGCATGGTAGCAGGCCGCATGGTGTCTATGTGGGCTTTTGAAAGTGTGTGTGAGTGCGAGTGTGAGTCCACCGGAGCAAAGTTGGGAAAATCCCAGCAGCATTCTTGTAATTCCTCACTGCACCACCCCTCACAGGAAGAAACAAGGCAGGAATGGAAATTAAAAAGGAAAAAAAAAAAAAAGACATATTCTGCGGTTGAGATTCAAACCCCCCTCCCCTGAAATTTCTCTTCACTCTCTCCATCCCTTGTCCTCCTCTCTGCTCTTTCCCTCCTCGTCTGTTTCCCCTCTCTTGTGCCACGTTGCCCTGCAAAAGCTAGGAGACGCTGCTTCTGCTTCTGCTGCTTCGTCCCGGAGCTGCCGGAGGGTGAAGCCTGGATAAACACGCACACTCCAGCTCCAGAGCTGAGACATTATGTACAGTGGTGGGAGCACAATCCTTCCTGGATATTACACCAACACAGTGCACTCACATGCAACAACACAGCTGCCTTATTGAGGATTTTAGAGGCTTAAACTGGGATATTATAGTGAAATGAGATGTGATAATAACAATAAAGTTAATTCAGGTTAGCGTTAATCAATCAATCCGATTTTATATGTATGGCCCATATTCATAAATCACAATTTGTCTCATAGGGCTTAACAAGGTGCGACATCCTCTGACCTTAACCCTCAACTACCAAAAAAACCCTTTTAACAGGGGAAGACAAATGTAGAAACCTCCGAGAGAGAGACACATGTGAGAGACACATCCTCTCCCAGGCAGACAGAAGTGGAATAGATGGCGCGTGGAACTGGAGACATCAGCAAAATAACAGTATTTACAACGTTGAATAGAAGAAACAGCTTGTAATATGATGGAAAAGTGTGTCAATGTTTAAAGTATTAATGTCTGATAGAGATAGAGAAAGAAAGTCTGATAGAGATGAAGGGAGCAGCAATGAGTTATGGTCAGTAATGGCAGAATATTAAGTCATCAGTGAGTATCATGGCTGCAATTTCAACTCCAAAATAAGCATGTTTGCATTTGTGCATGTGTGTGGTCCATGCAAATGTCACTTTCCCAAATGGCCACCTGGGTATAACAGGTCTACGGTTGTAAACATGACAGGGCATCAAAAGTAACGTGTGTAAGTGTGCAGGCTGAATGCAACGCAGTGGGCCATGGCCTTGTGGAGCAACACCCTCCACCTCCAAGCGGTTTCCTGCAGCCTCTGTGAGCCCGTTCAGCACGCACCAGAGGCGGCTGCAAACCACCGCTGTGTCCCCCCGTGATCTGAGCCGGAGCCTGGTGCAGCAACACGGGCTGAGTAAACAACAGCAGCGTCAGTCCCCCCCCCCCCCCCCCCCCCCCCCCCCCCCCCC